GCGGCTCCACCCCAGTCCCAAGCCACCAGCTGTCCACTCCTGGTGGGAGGTGGCCTCCTCAGCCCCTCCTCTCTGACCTTTAACCTCACTCTCACCTTGCACCCTGCACCAACCCTTCACCCCCTCCTGGAAAGCAGGCCCGATGGCATCCCACTGGCCTCCACCAACTGACCGGAGTTCAGGGGACTGGACTCTTCAGGGGACTGGCTCCTTTCCCAGTGTCCTTAAAATAAAGAAATGAAAATGCTTGTTGGCACATTCATGTGGCTTGACCGTGGCTGCTTTAATTCATTTGGTGACATTTTGGAGTCTGTGGAATCGGGCAGGGGTGCTGCTGAGAGGAGTGGGACGGGAGAGCATGGACTCCCTTTGGGCAGGGGGTCCTGACCTCACACCTCCTCCCAGAGGGTGTTGGAGAAAGCAGACTGGGGCTCTAGCCTTTTGGGCAGGAGTCTCAGACACAGGAAAGGTGGTCATGGGGGACCCCAGGAAACAGCCCCAGGCCTCCAAAATGGGAGAGAGGCTGGGGCAGAGCCTGTGAGGGCCACAGCAGGGCCAGAGCTGGCTCCTCAGACCTGGCGTCCCAGTGGGAGGAGGTGGCTTGGGGAAGGGGTGTCAGGGGAAGCCGATCCAAAGCACCGTCTGGGTGTGTGTTCCATTGTGGGTCTCCCTGGCATTAGGGGTTAGGGCTTGTGTGGGAAAAGTGGTTCTGTGTCCATGTGTGGGGTTCTGCCAGCCACTGGGCCACCGCCAGACAACCCAGCTCCATGTCCATGTGATGCCAACACATCCTGCTCGGCCCAGCAAGAATTCAGTTCCTCAGGCCCCAGTGTAGTCTTCGGAGCGGTGGCACCAGCAGCAACTGGGAGCTTGTTGGAAACGCGGCATCCTGTGCACCCCCGCCCCCTCCACACACACCTACCTAAGAGATCAGAGTCTTCATTTTCACAACACCCCAGGGTGTCGTGTGAAGCTCACCTCAGGCAGATCACCTGAGGTCAGGAGTTCGTGACCAGACTGGCTAACGTGACAAAACCCTGTCTCTAGTAAAAATAAAAAATAAAAAAAATTAGCCGGACGTGGTGGCAGGCACCTGTAATCCCAGCTACTCAGGAAGCTGAGGCTGGAAAATTGCTTGAACCCAGGAGGCAGATGTTGCATTGAGCCAATAGATAATGCGCCATTGCACTCCAGCCTGAGTGACAAGGGCGAAACTCTGTCTCAAAATTAAAACAAAACAAAACAAAACACAGCACAACAACAACAAAAAAACAAACCTGGGAAGCCCTGGTACAGGAGTGGACTCCTGGCCGTGTTGCTGAGACACACAGCTGTTGCGCAGGGCACAGAGCTTTTCTGGAGTCTGAGGTTGGTAATGCACCTTCTCCTGCCACCTGAAACTCTGCTGCTAGAAATGGGAGGGAAGAGAGAGGGGCAAAGTCGGCCAGGGCGGCCAGGAGGCAGACACCAAACCCGAGCTGGGAGCCATGTGTTGCCAGGACCCCAGTGGCCCCTGCTGAGCTCCTTCATTGGTTCTGACCAGGACAAGGAAATGGGGCTCAGTCTCTTAAGAAGCCTTCCTTGGCTAGCTCCAAACCCAGGAGGGTCCCCAGTCCCTTGGAAGAGGATGCAGTGGCTCACACTTGCCTGGACATGCTGCCTTCCCAGGGGTCACATCCATATGAGACAAATTCACATGGGACAGGTGGCCCCAGAGCAAAACGCTTTCTAAGGAAGTATCTAAGAAGAAGCTCAAGGCCTTCCCTGAAGCGCTGGCCTCACGCGAGAATCCCGCCCTCGCCAGACCCCGTGTCAAATCCTTCATGTGGGAGACAGGCCTGTGCCCTCTGCCCTACCACAGGTCTTTGGACAAGCACGAAGCTCCATCTGCTGCTGTCACACCTGGCAGCCATTTCAGAGGAGCCATGGCCTGCCTGGGGTGTCCCTCTATGGGGGATCTGTTCAGGCTGTGACATCCACCAGCTCCCCACTCTATATAACTCAGGGCCACGTTCCCTACAAAACATCCCACCCCCCACACACACATACAGTGTGATTAAAGTAAAATTCCATCATATAAATATCTCCATCAAGGAACCATACAGGGAAGACCCAAGTAGCCGTTGGGAACAGACTAGGGTGTTAGTTTTTTAAACAGAGGCATAAATAACTGTACACAAGGCAGTTAAACACACAGTGCTGCAACAGTACCACCTGGTGGTCACTTGAAGTGGTGCACTCAGCAGCGGGTTCCATCTTTCACCCACTTGCCAGGCCTGTCATTGAAGATTTCGTCTCCAAGGGACCAGGGAGGCCCCAGCTTGAGAGAGGAGGCTCCGATCAATCCAGGGTGCTACTTGGTAGGAGGTCAAGTAAAGGGCTTGATGGGGAACGAAGTGAAAAAATAAGATGTGAGGCTGGGGGATACCACTTTCCTCCAGCTCCCCAGGCCCTGTGACCTCAGATAATGCAGAGCTGGCTCCATGGTTAAGTTCTGTGCCGGCAGTTTTAACCTCTCCTGTGGGCCGTCAGAGGGCTGACATCTGCAGGCTCCAGGGCTGCGCTGCCACCTTGTCCGCTTGTAGGTAAATACAGCACCAAAGGTATCTTCATGAAAGCACTTCTGGCTCTCTTAGGTGGAAACAGAGACCAACGTGTCAAGTCCAGGCTGGGATGAGCCCCCGGGGCTGCCCAGCTTCCCTGTCACGTGGACCTTCATGAGCCATCTGTCTTCCCAACTGTCATACTTAGATTGTGCTGGAATCTGGTTTAGAGCCTAACCTCGCTCAGCACCTGCTCTGGAGCCAGCCCTCTAACCATCTCCAAAGCTTTACTTGGCATTCCCATGTCCTGCCCAGCGCTCACCCCCCACCCAAGACGCTCCAGGAAGTGTGAGCTCTGAGATAAATACATTTGGGAAACGCTACGTCCTTGCTTTGCTCCCAGCCTTGAAGGGTCCCGACGCACAGCAGCAGGTTGAAGCCCCCCAGAAGCCTTGTAGTAAAGCAACGTGCTTGCCTTGGCTTAACTAAGCATGTCCCAGGCTATTCGACCTTGGAACCTTTTTGATGCCAAATATCTACTGACCCATTCAACCCATTTGGGGAAATGCCTGTTATCTCCTCACTGTCCTTCCAACACGCCAGCTTAACTTCCACCCTCGGGCCTTTGTACCTGCTGCCCCCTCCAGAACAGCCCCGAGTGTTTCCTT